ACTCAGACTCAGCTGCCGGCCGACCTTTGGACCCTTTGAATTCCCCCCAAGAAAAAGATCCCTGAAATGGGAAAGGCGGCTGGAAAGCACATGTCTTGATTTTGTTTGGTCGCAAGTGAGCTGACTGCCCGGTTTTCCAGGCTCGACTTGTCCGTGCTCTTTGAGCCGGTAGATGGGGGAAGCGGACATGCATGCCGCGGCGCCGCTGCTTCGGACAATCGGCCGGAGTATTACTACGTCATCTCAGGCCCGGCAATGTGCGCCGATGCTATCGAGAAGGTTCCTTTCCGAACATGTTCAAGGACCTCCAGTCACGGCGTAGCAAGCAAGCTTGGTTCCTGGCAGTCTATTTTTGGGAATGCGAGCCTTGAATTGACGGAGTCCATGCCGCACATGATCTACGGCCCAGACATGTATCCCAGGGTGGTACTCGTAGTGTCTCCCTGGCAACTGTGGCTGGAGTGCTTATATAGCTTTGGGTACTCATGTGCGGTTGCCTTTGTGGTGTTCTTGCATGGCATGTGGTTTTGCACATGGAGCACTTTGCAGGTATCTACGGGCTGTATGACTGCCAGGATGCCTGCGTGCAGGCAAGAAATATGCGAGCACTCGCGCAGGCAACCTCCGCTCAGTTCCCGCGGAGATTGCTTGAACGGCAGTTGCTCTGGCGATTTCATCAGGGTGTCTTCACTGCCCACGCACATCTCCTCAAGATCGTACTGGACTGTGGTTCGTCATTCTCCGATGCTAAGATGGCTTCCAGTCTCAGACCGCTACCCCGAAACCACTACCCTTCCTGAGTATCGTGGCTGTAAATGCCGTTGAAGTTCCGGAATTGTTCTTGGGGTCAGGGTTGTGGACTTCAGCCGTTGTTTTTCGGGTTTGGAAGTTTTGTTCTGGGTCTTGCGGTTGTCGGGGCACAAGCAACCTCAGGCAAAAACACTGAAGGTGTTTGTACAGTAGGGGCTCCCTATATTTCAGCTTAAGTCGTCAAAAGACACTGACCTCTCATGGGCCAAGAAGGTGATGTTTAAAACCACAGATGCTATCCGCAGGCTGACTGGCAATGCCATGTTTGTTTGACGTTCTGCGGTGGTAATGCAAGTGAGGCACCAAGTTGTTGTTTGGCAAGCCCCTATGGTGGTGGATTCTGTTGCTTGCAGGGCAACATTTGGGTTGAAAAAGAAGCCCCACGCCTTTTCGTTATGTAAGGGCCCGTCCCATAACTTTCTTTACAGGCCCGGAGCACTGCAAACCGATGCTGAGGAAAAAACATTGATTCCCGTCAAGGAAATGAAGACACACATCAGGTCCAATATGTTGTCGCAAACCAACATTGCCAAATCATAATCTTACAGGGCCCACAAACCGATGCCCAACTGATACCCAATTCATTAGCTGCCGAATCCAACCAGCTGCCCTGGAGCTGCTAAATGTAAGCTACATGTACTGAAAAGTTATGATTTTCCGGCCGGACCTGCCAAAGTGTACTTCGTATACTACACTTGTACTGAAAAGTTGCGACTTTCCAGCTGGAGCAGCCAAACTGCACCTGGTGTACCACACTTGCGCTGAAAGTTGCGACGCTCAAGTCGGAGCTGCCAGAGCGCATTCCGTACACTACGCATGTACTGAAAAGTCACGACTTGCGAGCAAGAGCTTCCAAAACACTGCGCGCCGATGCAGGGGAAAAACCGATACTAACCGGTACTGAGGCTATAAGGTCTGTCCACTGTTTTTCCAGCATAAGCCCCGTGTGAGCGGCTCAAACAAATGGAAGGATTGTTCCCTGCAACCCTCTCATGCCCTCCTCTGTTCGCGACTGCAAGAAAGACGAAGTCATCAGAAGGGCAAATACTTACGCAATTGTTTGGAGTGAGCGTAGCTTATGTTGGCCTTATCATGTGTGGGTGTATGTGAGGGTAGTTCTCCTTTTCGAGCTTTTCTGGGGAAACCGAATCGGGCACCACGGGTCCTGTATTGCCACCGACCGATGTCGGCCTTGGAACCATGTCGGCCGAGCGAGCGAGCGCAGGCAGAGACCTGCGTGGGCATCGAGTATAGCACCGGCCGCTGTGAGGTTTGGACTCGCGAGCAAGGAATTCAAGCCAGCATTGCCGCGCGGCTATGAATTCTGATAGGTTGGGAGTGACCGAATCCGGGGTTTGGGAATGAACCGGCTTTGAAGATTCCCTGAAAGGGAACCATAGGTTCCCTAACAAATCATAGGATGGATGGTTTATCGGGGTCATTCCCTCATTTGCTGAGAACCGGCAAGCTTAATCGGGAACGGGAACCACCGCACCAAGCGTTATTGGTGGACATGAATCTCCAGGGATTTTGATGTCCACCAAACATTCTGGGACCCACTAAGATTCATCCATGCCCATGTGAGGGTGGGGATAGGGACTCACCTTTGTTTTTCGCCTGAGTCCCTCCTTTTTGGTGAGTATGCAGAGAAGGTGCTTCTTTGCGGGTCGGCTTTTGGCATGGGGGGCCTTTCCTCGAAGGTCTGGCCAGTGGTCCATATCTCAGTTTTGGAGCGACACTTCGGGATTCACAATTTTCCCCACAAAACCACAGCGGGACTGGCAAGATGTCCGATACAAGGGCAATTAACTAGGAGACTCGCCAATTCTTCTATGTCCTTCACAGGAGCCGCGTATTCTTCCGATGGCCAGCAAGTCTTTCCGTTTCAGGCTCTTGCTGGCTACACCTGCCTCAGCCCCTGGGCTGCATTCGTCCGCGCGGAAACCCGCTGGGGCCAACACGTGTTAAAGTCATCAGATCCAAGCCTAATGGAAAGCAAAGGCAGATGCTGTTGAAACACCATTGGTTGAAACGCATCTAAACACGGGGTTGGCCCAACCCCGACCCGTTCAAAGTCAATGGATGTCAATGGCTGGAACCCTGCCAGGGTTTATGCCAAAATCCAAAAGGACATTCTTCTATGGTGTTTTTAGGTTTCCTTAAGCATATCTGGAGGGGGTAATTTTCAGACATTTCCAGATGTGCCCAAGGCCACAATTCCCTTTCTTTTCGCCATGACATGGTTACATGGCTCAACACATTCGCAAGCATGGTGGTCGTGTGCCCTTCAGATCTTGCTTTTGTGCCTGACTGTCAGGGAGGCAACAATGTGTCAAATGCTGGCCTTCAAGGTGGGCAAGCTCCTAAGAGCTGGTGGCCATTGCATCATTTTGGCGAAAGGACGTCGAAGCTTACTCGCAAGCAAACAAGAGCCGATATTCAGTTCCAACCTGACCGTTATGTGGTTTATGATGCCTTGTTGCTACCATCGCGGAACACACCATTTCAGGGGTACGCCCACGGTATATGCACTGAGGACACCAGAACTTGACTGCAGTCTTCCGGGGCGACTGCTGGTTGCATGTTTTTGGACTTGCGGGGTGGACATTCTTGTTGGCTCCCTTCACCTGAGTCCAACTCTGGTTTGCCCTGCCTTAGTTTGCTTACCCAGGTTATGCTGGGGCAGCCCGCCGGTTGGCGGAGGAATTCGTGCAGAGAGGCCACTTTTTGTCCAAAGCCGGCAAGTGAGGCGTCGCAAATAGTTTCTGTCGGGAGCCGTGCGCCTTGAGCCGCCGCTTCTGCAAAGATTTGGGGACAGGTTGGGGCGGTTTGCCACCAAGAATGAACGATCAGCCGTTGAACGCGCCTTGAAAGGGGAGGTGATCATTGCATCAGTTGGCGAACTACTTTTTTGGCAGAAAACCCCACCCTGAGCCGGAACTTCCACGCTTAGAGCTTGAGCATAGTGTGCGTGGACGGCATGTTGGCCGGGAAGCTGCCGGTGAGCATCCGAGCAACATCCGAGCAACATGCCGGGACCGTTTTGTGCCTGGGAAGCGTTAAAAACGGCCTTCCCACGCTCCCAGGCTTGTATAGTGCGGAGGGTTAGACGGGACATGGAGCTACAGGCCAAATCCATGAGACTCCTGTCTGCGCACTGCAAAGATCGAGCAAAAGCTGGGCAGTTTGCCCATCCGCATGCACCGGTTGCACACTCTCGGTCATTGCCAATCATGACGTTTGCACAAATAATATCGAGCTCACGAAGGGCGTTGCTCAGGATTCAGGTCCCCGGGGTTTCTTCATTCAGTTTGGTGAGAAGTATGAGGAGCATAGAGCGCAGATCATTTGATATTTGAAAGGGCAGCGGCTTGCCACTTTGAGCTTGATTTGCTCTTCCTGCGACCCAAATGCCAGGGGGTTTGCAGTGCCAGCTATAGGGTGCAGCTCGTTTGAATTTAAACACATGTCAGATGGAGCAGACACGAGACCTGATTGCTGACTTGGCAGACCTCAAAATTTGGGGTTGAAGCTTCGAGTTGAGTGGGTCTGGTTTCAAGTTTCTGCTTGACTTGAGTCATGGAATGGTTTAATAGGAGCATCATTTGAGGCTGCCAGCAAAACATTTGTGGATGGGGTTTGGAGGGGGGGGGGTGATACCGCACACCAACGAGCAAAGTTATTGGTAGTGTTTCCTTTTTTGGTTTGGGCGAAATAGTCATCACTTTTCAATACATGTTATGTTGTTTCAGCGGGGCCTAGGGGTTATGTCGTTAAATCTAGCTCCGCTGCTTTCACCCCACATCCTTCCTTGTCACCGGAGCTTGTGGTTCGCATTTGCTCACCAGTTGAGATGGATGAAACCGTATGAATCCCGAGATCAGCCAGCAACCATCTGGTGTGCAGTTAATCTTGTCCAGCCACACGCAAAAATATACAACCGCACAACCACACGAATGCAGGAACACAGATACACAAAAACACAAACACACCAAAGAACACAAACACACAAACACCATCAACTCATGTATCCATTTCTCCATTGCCCGGGCTAGGGCTAGCCACCGCGAATCCGCACTTCACACCGGGGCTCGCAGCCATCCGCAAGCATGGCCAACGCCTCTGCGCCGCCGAGGCTTTTGGATAGGATGGACAAGTCCTGCTGTGGACGGAATCCGTTCGCACCACCTTGAAGAAACCATGGTGGAAACCATGGGTTTGTTGGCATTTACAAGGGTCATTCCAGGGTTTCTTAGGTGGTGCGAAATGGATTTCGTCCACCCACACTATGGTTGTCAGGGGCCGGACTCCCTGAACGTGAACATGGTCCCCAAAAGGAGCTCCTTTTTGGCCCCGAATACACCTTGTTTATTGGTAGCATTTATTGCGGGCCCTTGAGCAACGGAAAAAGGGTGCCGCTGCATTGATCAGAACCTATGGTTGAGCTTTGGCCTTTCTTGCCGACTTGTTTTTTGGGTGGGAGCTTTGAATTTAACGATCATAGGAAGATGCCGGTGATTTCTTTGGTGCATTTTGCTGGGATGTTAGGACTTTAACTTTTTGCCAACTCATGTGCTTTCCATTACCACTAAAAGTTAAACTTTTAGCAGGGGAGCAGAAAGCAACCAAGATTTGTTGGCGTCTCAACCAAAGAACTCTGGCGATTTTCCATGTTTGAGGCCCTCTTGGATGAGGACTTTCCTACGGGTGCCTGGTTCTTCCATGGCCTAGAGGGGGCGGGGTGTTTGGCCAATTTGTTGGGAAAGTGCGGGTTGACAAAAGCCGAAAGCTGGGTGATTGTTTTTTAGTTGTTTATTGAAATCGCTACGCGATCCGCCGACGCCAGTGGGGTGCAAGGGATTTTAAGACCTTTTTCATTTTTTCCTGGAAGTGATGCTGAGGATGCTGGAAAGGCAAGGGATGCAACCACACAATGTACAGGAACAGACCCAATCTTCGCATCCAAAGTTTCAAGACTTTCAGACACGCAAAATTGACCAAACACAGAAAATACCAGAGATGCCGGGAATGCTGGGAATGCAGCCGGCTGGCCACAAAAAAGTCCAAAAGCCAGGATTTTTGTTATTTCCCAAAATCAACCATCAAAAGCAGATACTAGCAACCCCCCTCAAATACCCTTAAAATAGACTTCCAAAAGCAAGATAACGCAGGGGATGTTTCGCAGTAACTTCTCCATACACTTGGGGAATTGCAAAAACACTGATTTTTGGAAATTCAAACAGTTCCTCAACGTATCACTGCACTTGGCCCCACCCAGACCCCTAACAGGCCGATTCCAACATCGCTTGAAACAGCAAAACACCATTAGTATCTGCAAAAAAAAAGGAGACACATTCATGGCAGCAAGGGATGATGCTGGGGATGCAGATCCTGGGCGTCCGGGGGATTAGCACGCAAGCCCCCAAAACGCTGCAAAATTACAGGGTTTTGGACACCCAGCACACCATGCCCAAAAAATGGCAGCCCCAAAAGCCTTCGGCTTTGATAAGAGATCCGCATGAAGACCAAGTTGCGGACTGCCATCTACACGCTCGACTGGCGTCGGCGGATTTATTGATTGATTGATTTATTTGTTTGTTTATTTATTTGTTTTTCCTGGGCACATCCAGTCGGAAGGTTGGCGCGAGATCTTTCGGAAATTGATGCCAACCTTGGAGGCCCTGGGGAACAGCGGAGCTCTCAAGAACAGGCCAACTCACTTCTAGATTCTCCGAAGGGAACGAGTTGCGGAACATGGCAATTTGTTTCTAGCCCAGGCTGTGCCATGATGGATGAGAAAGTAGGCTCTGAAAGCTGCGTCTTTCCCGTAGCACTATCCCGGAATACGTCCCCATGATTCGGACAGCCCCATTGTTGACAGCATACTCGGACTGACGGGATCCAACAGAAACCGCGGAGCACCCGGGGCTGGGTTCTGCACGGGAAGCTGGGTCCGTCATATGGTTGGCTCATCTTTTTTGAGGGCAGCCAACCAAAGGGAAAACCACGTTGGTTGGTTGTTGTTTTTTGGGGTGGGGCCGGGTCCCTTAAGAGAAGGCACACCCTTACATCGCCTGGATCAAATCAAACAGTGCACTGCAGCAGGAGGGGTGGGTACAAGGCCGCCGGGTTTGTGCCAGGAGCTCCTTTGTTATTTGGGGAATTTTGGCCTGTCACCCAACAACTTGGTTCTACATGAGGTAGAAACGCGCAAGTTGTTTTGACCTTTCGGTTTAAGTTTGGGTCAGTTTTAGTGGCAACCCAACTGGCCAGGCGGGTCTTGGATACCGTGCAGCGGGAGAACTTTGCCGACTTGGTGGAGCCTCGTGCAGCAGCCAGACCTCGCCAGCACATTGCAATGATATGATCAGGTCTGATCATTAGAGCGTCCTTCCTACCAGAATGGTTCTTAAGAACCCGTCTGAAGGTTCTGGAAACCCTTCCTGGGCCGGGGGCCCTAGTTGTTTCCGGCAATTGTCAACACATGGTGGCGTGCTCCAATGTTGAGACAGGAATCAACCTTGCGGATTGACAGAATTGTTTCGCTCAAGATGTTTTCCTTCTAACATGCGGCGCCTCTCCATCAACCAAGCAAGGACGAAGATACCTGTCATTGTTCTAGTGATTATTCTAATGCTTGGCTCTAAGGTGGTTTCCACCAATTTAATTGGCCCCAAACCACTAGCCCCAAGGGAACATGGGGTAAACAATGCAAAGAGGAAACGCCTTGATTTCCCTTGGATGGTTTGGGGGTAGTGGACACCATCTTAATTTGATCCCCCGTTCTGTTCGCACCATTGTTCAAAAAGTCGCGCAACCTCCCCCAAGGGGAGTGCAGCTATGGTGCCAGAGGAGGAAGTTGCCCAGAAGTCAGTCAGGTTCCGCGCGTGGGTTCGTGGGCGCAAAGTAGATGGCACCACCTCACGTTGGTTTCATCCTCCCCTCTACGGACCTTGAGGGAATGGTGCCTCCCATTTCTAGCTGGGTGAGGTTGCCCCTCCAGGTTTGCAGGCTCGCAGGTTGCCCCTCCAGGTTTGCGGGCTTTGCAGGCTCGCAGGACAAGCGGCACAAGGAAATCCGACTTGAGCCACAATCCAAACCCGGGTAGATGAAGGTTAGTAAAGAGCAGTCCTTGCGACTGCCTTCTTGAAATCTTTACATGGTTCTGGGTAGACCATTTCAATACTGGGTTTTGATAGTGCACCTTTGCGCTTTCCGGACAAACATGACTTTTTGAGGATGGCAGCTGCTCCGCGGTGTTGCCGGGTCCAGGAAGTGAGATCCTTAATCATTCCTCCTAAATTATTTGCATCCAACACACACACGCATTATACACGTGTAGTTAATGTCAACAAGTGTGAATGGTAATTTGAGCAGCTCAAATTACAATATCTATACGTTTTGTTTCTTAATTTAATGTGTACATGTTTAGCTGCAGTATATTGTTTGCATTTGTTAAAGGATGAGCACCACAACTGAGTGTTAGAACCCTTCAAGCTGTTAAGTTTAAGGTCCCCAATATTTTACCCTCCATATACATCAGCGACAAATGGTAAATGTGAGACCCCCCCTCTCCAACCGCCCTCCCTCTCCTCCCCCCCTTCCCCCCCCCCCCCCCCACAGGTTTTTCGCTTTCCTCAGGAGCCGTCGCGCCGGAGCTTGGTGAAAGTCTTGGAGTTCTCCTTCGAGGGCCAGTCCATCAGCCCCAAGGAGGTGGAGGCGAGCTGAGCGCCAGTCGCTCGAGATCCAAAGGCGACCTTTTGGCTAGACGAGTCAGTTGGCCTTTTGGTAGCTTCACGGGTAAAATTTGCCATGTTTTCGGTTTTGGCGTTTGGTTCTGATGTTTTTTTTTTTGTCCCCGTCGCCTGCCACCAAGACAAGCTTGTTGCCAGCATACCAAAGTTTCGGAAGGTTGAACGGTCCAGTATTTGGGATCCTTTATCGAGCCCCCCAGTGGTGCCCTTTTGCCTGTTCTTTTCTTCGGAGGACATGCCCCTTGAAGATGTTTGCTTGAATGTGGACTTCCAAGAAACGAGGTGCCTCATCTTCCAGGAATACAACAAACAAAGACACACGCCCGAGCTTTGGGGGCACAGGGGCGTCCTGTTGGGGTTCTTGTCGTTGTCGCAACAGCAGAATTCCAGGCGCAGAAGCCGTGCCAGACCTTCATAGATTCACCCACCAAACTGTCCCCCACCATTCCTGAGGAAAGGCTCCTAGTCATACAACCTTCCCAGCGAAGTCGTGAAGAAATTCAAGAACACGGGATTGGAGTTGTGCATAGGCTCCGCTCCACGCTCCCGCGGATTGCAACACACGTCTCCAGCGACTCGACCTTTTGCGGTCGTTGTTTTTCTCGTGGGGCCCGTTAGAACGGATCGGACAGGTCGTTCTCTTTGACATCTACTCATTGGATAGCTTCGCGGCCGCCTGTGCTGCGCGAAGCTTCCTGGGTCAGGGCGTTCATTACGAAGGACGCGGCGCGGAAAGCGCCACGACTTGAGGTGGGCCCTGCGAGCTCCTTGTTTGTGCAGCTTGTGTGTGTTGGTGTGTGTTCCGCTGCCTGCTGGATGAGTGAGGCAAACCCTCCAACGCCCTTTACAGTATCACCTTTCGTTGGTTGGGCATCACCTTTCGTTGGTGGGGCATCACTTTTCCTTGGTTCGGCATCTCGAATCCCTAGCAGCAATTGGCTCCAGTTCTGTCCCAGCACTTGGTAAGACCCACTGGTGTCAAGGCCGAAGTCGACATCGCTGACATGTGGGTTATTCAATATATATATATATATATATGAGGTACCGTCAAAATTGCTTCTGTTGAGTTTAGCATCCGGCGTTTCATTGATATTGTGAACATGCAAAAACCACCATGGCAAACGATTGGGAACTCTCAACAAAAACGACACCCCTGGAAAGCGATGGAAACGCTGGAAAACGATAGGGGACTCTCAAACTAAGCGAAACGGGCAGAAGTAAGTCATTTTGACCGTGCCTCATATTATATATATATATATATATATATATATGTATGCTGATGTGTTCCAAGTGACACCCTTGTTGTAGTTGTGTCCCACTACGGGCTCCAGATTAGGATCTGAGATTCCCTTAGTTTGAAAGAAAGCAACGCCCAGGGGGAAAAAACAAGGAGAAACAAACAAGGACATATGCGGGGATATAGCCAGGCACTGATCTGGGCAGCGACTTTGCAAAGGGTTCCCGAACTGACCCAGGATTCCTTGTGAATATTGTGGTATCTTGCTCCTCGTACTCACTTCCTCAGTTCCTGGACTTTTCTCCGGGGGGCGGGCAGGGGGCAAGACAATTTTGGTAGTAACTAGAAAGTTTGGATTTTGTTTTTGTCAATCCACTCGAGTGATGGTTTGGTCGGGAGCTTCTAATTTCATGTATGCAGGAAGTAATGTTGACCCCCGGATCTAAGTAGAACCCGTCCTGCTATTAGGGGGGTGGTCCCCTCCAAAAGTGAAGGATTCCCTCCAAAAAGGGACACCCCCGTACCAATGAATTATTGTTTGCCAGGGGATGAGGTTGAGGCAGCTGAAAAGGTCAGCTCCTGGACTTTATATTCGTAGGAACGATTTCGTGACACATAACAAGTTCTTTCTTTGTTTGGCTAATCCATGGAAGTCAAACGAGCAAATTTGGCTGTTCGAAATCAATCCTTAAGTGGCTCCCCTTGTAGTGGTGTCCCACTACCGGTCGCGGAGAATTGGATTAGGGTCCCCCCTGCAGCGCTGAACAGGCGGGGCCGGCAGTTGTTGCGCAGGAGTGACGCGAAATGGATACAAAGACATCGTGGACACCAACCTGGAGGGTAAGGTGCCACATAGAACAAGTAACACATGAGGAAGTGTCAAAACAGGAGAACCCCCTTTTTGGGGGCCGAAGTCTTACTTTGTTTAGAATCGGAACCAAAAGCGTACCTAGTGCCATGGTCTTTGGGAAATGGTCGATGGTTCCACTGGAGGTTAGAGAGCCATGAGGATTGCGGCAGCGAGTGCCATGAAGCCCTTGACACGGCTGCCTTCTGCAAATTTCGATGGATCTAGGGCCGAGATTCCCACCAGGAGATTCCTCCAGTGCGGTCGAGGTAATCATTGCTTTCCCACATCCCCATATCCTCATCTTCAAAGCCTGGGGGTGACTCCTGGTGGCGTGTTGCTCAACCCTCGGATATCCTTGAAGCTCCAACCTAAAGAAGTTTGCCCGGCTCCGTCATGGTTGACAGTGGACTTGCTTCGTTCCGATTTGGTCCGTATCCTTCACCTATTCCTATGCTAAGTAGATTGGTGTGGGGCCTTGCGCCTCCCCAACCGGTCACAAGGAGCTGGCCTAATGATGTTTTTGGGGATTCCTGGTTTTCGGTTTTGGGAACGTTTGGAGCGATCCATGGTTTTGCGGCTTCGATCACCTCTGAGGTTGTGGCAATGCTCGGGGTGTGCTGGAAGTACATGGAGATGAAGGAGCTGTGTCCTGGCGGAACCCGTTCTCCAACTAAGACATTGAAACCCCACGCAAGAGCCGCCAGAGATCCATTCCAGAGACCCGTTTGGGAAGATACCCAGACACGAAGGACTGCTTCCGATAAATCCGAGCACCCTGGGAGTGGACATGGGGCCGGTTAAAAGAGGCCCCTCCTGTCCACTTCCATGGTGGCAAAGGCGGGGGAACTTCCAGTTGCTTGAATGGCTGCCTTTCTCAGACTAGCACGCAACATGGATATTTGTACTTTACCACCAACCAACGAGCAAATCAGCAAAAATCGGCTGTTTCCAAGCAGCGGCCAGGCAAGCTTATCAGATTATCAATACGCTAAGCTTGTTGATGGGACGGAACATGAATGAGCTGGATGCTTCAAAACCACCGACAGCTCAGTTGCTCAGCTGGGTGTTGTTCAAGGTTGGTCTGAGACATATCCCGTTCTGGTTGACCATGAGGAGGTGGTTAGGGGGGCAGGTTATGTTTATCGCCATTCGCAGGACAGCAGTTCCGTTCTTCTGGACTTTGCATTTCCTCTTTGCAGGGATGTCAGTGCGAGGGCGCGGAAGCAGGAGTCAGGTTGCCTTCGTGGCCGGCTTTGAGCAGAACTCGCCGCAGCACTGGCTCAAGTCAACATTTGGACCGGAGTAGGGCAAGCAAGGTTTCGGCTGCTCGGCGACAACTCAGATACACACATTTGGATACCAAGGCTACCCGCTTGAAAGTGACTATAGTTGCTTGCCATAGTTAGGGGGACTAGCAGGATCATGAGATGCGCTTGAGGGTTGGCTTCTTATGAGCAGAAGTGAAGCCCCTTCGGCCCACACCAAATGGTGAAACAGTGTTTCTTCTCGGGTGACCCCCTGTTTTGCTGGCGCTGTTGCCTTTAAAATAAGGGCAATCTGACGGTGCCGCTGTCACATGACTCATGACTCGGCCCAGGATGCATGCCAGGAGGTGGGAATTGGGCTCTGCAGCAGGTGCGGCAGAGAGCGACAGAGCGCAGACCAAAGCGACAAAGCGATTAGAGCACAGGACCGGCATTGACCTTGGGCGAAAAAAATAACGAGCTCACCTGCGAATGAAACAAGCTCACCAATGATGAAGGTCCTTTACTTGCGGCTTCCGATTTTTTCCAATTGGGAAATTAAAGTAAATTTGCCCTCACGGACTGGCTGTTCAATCCCCGGTCCATGTTGACCAACAGCTGTTGGCTCAAGGGGCAGCAATTAGCAGGTTCAGTGAAGAGACCTATGTCTTTGGGTGCCATGTCAAATGGCACCCGCAAGTCCAAAGAACGATTGAGCGATTGGCGCTTAGGTCTTCCTCCCCCCAAAAAAAAATAATAAAAAAAAGAGAGAAACACACGCGCTCCATAGAAGGTATACATGGGGCATGTTGTATAAGAATTAATTGCAAGGGGCATGTGTTTGTTCGTTTTGTGGGAACTTCACTCCTTTTCAAGCGAGTCTTCATCCAAATAGACCCCCGGCGTGGGCCAGTGACCGGATTGTGTGGATGAAAGATGGGCTTAAGATCGCATTTCACTAGCGGATTCATGTCCAAGGCCCTTTCAAGGCATTTGTTGATGGGTCCTATCCTTGACCTTTGGCCAAAGTGAATTCAATCAAGTGACCGAGGAGTCCCTGAAAATCTCACATTGCATCATGTACCCGGGTCTGTCGGGCAAAGAAGCCTTTCATTCAACTTTAGGAGGACGCACCTTTTGCAAACTGATGAAACGGTTCGCCAAGGACGCCAACAGGGTGTTTTTGTGCAACAAAAACACCCACAAGCAGCCACCACATTTTCCCTTGGAGGTTGAAAATGCATTGCGAACCATTCCGACTTTCCATGGGGAAGGTAGGAAGGTCCTTTTTCGGGCTCGCCCGAGGCTTCTTTTCTGCGTTGAGGGCCTCGGAGAACTCTCCTCCGGCCAGGCCTTGCGTGGAAGCAGCTCCGCAGATGACGAGCTGCTCGGAGCTGAATCGAAGACGAGCGAGCGGGTCCAAAGCCGGTTCCCTTTCTGGCTTCGTCAAGGTAAAAGGCGAATGAACCTGTTTCCAGTTCCTGGCATGTGTCACCAGAGTCGTTTAAATGTTCAAATGCTCGGGGGGACAAGTCAGAAGTGCGTTTGGGAACCCACTGAGCACATGGCCAGACCTAGCTTGCATCTTTTGTCTTCTTTGGTTTTCCTCCATTTCACCTTTCAACCAGCACAAAGTTAACCGGCTGATACCAGCTGTGTTGCCAACCATCGTGATGCGGGAAGCACAAGGTTAACTTTTCGCAGTGGGCTCGGATGCTTTGGGCAGCCCTCTCTCTGGGCATTTTTATTTGTTTGCACTTCGCACTTCTGATGCCGTGAGGATGTTCGTATCGCTCCTGGCTCCCTGGCTGCAACGATCCGCGGATTCGCGAAGTGCTTCTCAGCCGGCCGCGAAAGCCGAGCGGCTTTGTTCTGCTCGGGAAGCTGTACCGTTGTCATGTTGTGCGGGCTTTTTGTTTCACGAAATCCCCAAAATATCCTGTTTGACAAGCTGGTGAAAATTTGTCATCTGAAAGCTCGAAAGGCGGCCCATGCTATGCATCGAACGAGGGCGTGCATAGCTCAGCACTCCGAAAGTGGTTCATATGTGGTTCATGTCTAAATGATCAGGCCTTCGTGGCAATTTGGTTGGATCTTTAAACTTTAACTTCAAAACGTTGAGCCTTTCAGCGGTCAACGGCAACCAAATTAACCCTTTGAGGCGGCGCGGCTTGTTCTTCTAGGAAACGGTTTGGATGCGTTTTCTGTGGTTTCCCCATGTTGTTTGGCTAGTTGTTCTTCTTTTAATACTCTTTTAGTACTCTTTTGCTATCCTACCATGGTGGATCCACAAAAGCCGCATCCAAACCGTTTCCTAGAGTTCTTGGGCATATCCAGGGGTCCATGACTTTGCGTCTTGAAACATAGGGGACCCCCTCCCCGTCCCTTGTGGGGACTCCAGTGGTCCTTTCACAAGAAGTCGCGCCCCTATTCCCAGGTTCCGTGCTTGTTTGAACAAAAAGGTAAGTTACCCAGATCCAGGCTTTGGAGCGCCGTCCATCCATATTCACCCATCCAACCAAGCAACCATGCTACAAACCAATTTACCAACCAATCAATCATTGCATCCATCCAACCCGGACCCAATGAACATTGTATTTGCGATGTTGTCACAGAGATGGCCCCCTGCTGCCTTTTAAAGCCGGTTACCAAAAAGAGAACTTGTTTGACAACCCCCCATTCGGGTTTTGCAAAGGCCACAGGGGACCTCCATGCATGTCCCTCCGAAAACGAGGAACCGAGAGCTGGGTATGGGTCAAAATTAAACCAAAAATTGGACCGCACATTTTTCTCCTTGGTTCCATTTACCAGGGCAAGCCATTTTGGGGTTAGCCCATTTTTGCCCCACAGCCAGCTCTCGAAGCATAGGAGCGCGTGCGGGAAGAGCACGAGCTCCAAGTGAACTCGTTATGCTCGACCATCGCGGAGCTGCAGAAGAAGCTCCACAACGCCGGCCCGGGGCCCAGACGAAGGCGAAGCGCTGATGGTCCCGAAAGCGGATGCCTTTGAGGTTTTGGAATTGTTCTAGTGCTGGTCAATGCGTATTTATGCGTCAACACATGTGGTAACCCTCCCCCCCCAAGAAAAAGCGGCGTTCTTTGTAGCTGCGCCTTAAACCCAAAGCGGACAGAATGAACGTCCTAGGCCGAACAAGTTAACAAGTGTCCCTGTCAGCTTGGCACACGTCCCCTCCCTTAAACCGCGGCCGCTGGTGTGGCCAGTCGTTTTGCAATTGAAGCACCCTTTGAGCAATCCCCTCGTAGTTTCCTCGGGGATCCATTGCCAGAACACTTCTTGACACACTGAGGACCAGCAAGTATGGGTTGGTTTCAACCTGGGGGGGACCCCTTGCCCACTTTCCAGTGTGGACAGCGTTCACCTTTTCAGCTTCGCCGACGTGTTTGCCCAAGACCTTGGGCTGGCAATGAACCAACGGATTCCCAAGGAAACTTCCTCACTCCCAGAGTTCATCGACTTTACACTTTTTGGGAAGACCATTCTGGTGGCAAATAAAGAATTCGGACTTTTTCGGGCCAGCCCAATCGATCAGAAGTGAGAAACCATGATTCTAGGGGTACCTTCCCCATTCTTTCCAGGGATCCTTCTTTTCAGGAAACCATCCAAAAAAGCCAGCTTGGAAACAGATCCGGTTTTTGAAAAGAACCATGCTTGAATAGAATAGCTTGCCTGGTTTACCTGGTGGTTTAATCATCTACCAGGGAAACCCATCTATTTCCCCAAGACAAAGGACACCTCTGTGTCTTCGTTGCTGTGCTGAGGCCCCATCCAGGTGCAGGTGATCCGCGAGGAGAAGGGCCACGAGGACTCCGAGGGCGGTGCGTCGAGTCGAGGCTGAAACGACGCGGAGATTTCCCCGGTTGGGTTTAAAGGGAATCGATCACTGGAAACAGGTGTATTTTTATTTTTTTCAGGGGTCTTAAGGAAATGGAGGTGAAAGGGCCACATGGCTGCGGTTGTCAAAACCGTTGTGGGATCCCATTTTGGTCGGTAGGTCAATTCACCACCCGTTTGAGTCTATTTTAGTGGGGATTGGGATGTTCACTGGGGATGGCCACATGGATGTTGTTTGAAAGGGCAACCACATGGATGTGGCTTCTTGGTGGCTCCCAGCCATCCGGTTCCTTAGCCTTTTGGCTTACTAGGGTTTAGTGGGGGATTTCCATAAGCTTTTGGCAGGGGATCTGAGGGCAGCCCAGGTTTAAATGTTAAACACGGGGTGGGCCCGAAGGGCGCATTGTTCGGGGTGTTACCGATCCCCGGCTTTCTGTTGAAGTGGAGGGTGGGAGGTGATCGAGTTTCTAGGCTTCTCCAGGTCCGTCTTGCATGTGCATTTTCTTAGGGCCCTGCATGTGGGCCATACAGCATGACGTATTTCTGTT